GTGTGCTCTTCCGATCTCCCCAAAACCCCAAAACCCCGAATGTAAAATATGAATCATAAAATAAGAAGAATTTATCAAAAATATATAATCAGTAATTATGCAAAGAATTAAAAAGAAGTTGTTTTTTTCGATTCCAATTCTTTTAATCTTATTTTCTTGGAGCAAGGGTGGCACCGTTTTTGGTTGCTATGAGACTGCTTTAGCATTTAAAAATACATGCAACGGTGCACCTTACTATGCTGAGGATTGGAATACCTTTGTGACAAGGGATGTCACTTGCAATCAAATGTAGATTTGTCCTGTTGGAAGTACTGGAACTGCTCCTAACTGTACTTGGAAGAGAAAACTCTGTGTTACATGCTCACAGCAAGATGGCTAATTATTCATGAGAATCTAATCTAATGGTCTCCCTGACCATTGCGTTCCAGGAAAAGTTGCCCTTTAGGAAAGAGTAATAGATGTGAAATTTAGATTTGATCCTCCTCCAGTAACATTCTTCCAAAAGCCAAGTAACGTTGATGCCTTAAATCACATGATTTGTGACTTCGACTCTTCTTCTGAAAGCAACTTACCTTCAGACAGTATGTTTAGAAACTATGGAGAAAAAACAATTAGTATAATCAATATGGTAGGCATTGCTGCCAATGGAGTTCCCATGTATAACGGAAATTCCCCTAGAAATACTGATTATTTCTACCCTAAGGACTGGGCAGGCAGCAACTAAAAGAATGTAGATTAGGATATTGATGCTTGTCTGGGAGCAATACAGCCTGAAGATGGAGTTTATCACTATTGGTTTCTACCTCCCTGTCTTTATCACGCAGATAAGATTTAAACTAGCAAGTACTGTGACAATGTGACTGATTGTTTTACCGATATGGCTAGCTATTCTAAGAAAATTTATACTGATTTCTCTAACACTTGGACCCTGATTGGAATGGCAAAAGATGGACACAAAATTATAGGGCCATACACAGCTGGTAACTCTGAATTCGATTGCCAAGCTTTAGATATTTGTAATGGAATAAGAGATTCTTCTTCAGGGAACTACACCTATGTTGCAGTCACTACTTTTCCTTATGTCGTTGGTTGTTATGGGCCTGGTGCGTATGTCACTTTCAATAGTGTTTGCTCGAAAAACGTTTGTTCCTTTGGTTCAAGCTTGTTCAATAATCTCATTCTGTTTGGGTTGTTAGCAATATTAATGCTACATAGCTTTTACTGATATTTCACTTCCCAAAATTATATAAGTTTGTTATAAATAATTTCTTATTAAAATGAATTTAACGATTAATCTAGCGGGGTTTTGGGGTTTTGGGGTTTTGGGG